GCTTCAGCGTTTTTATAATTATTCTCATCCAGCAATGCCAGACTTCTTAAGCAGTAGTATGGATTTATTCTTTTTTTAATCCATATGTCACCAATAGTCTCTTTTCTTTTTAAATGTTTTTTTACATTATGATTATATATATCCACTTCTTTAAAACTATACCAATACGGCCCATGCTTTATAATATATTCTACTAAATCCTGTAGAATATTTGAATAAAATCCAGTATTTTTCTTTTTATACAAAGAATTCTGCGCATTAATTAGAAAATCGGCAATAATATACAGTCTTTCAGTAATGCAATCTCCAAGCTCTTTAACAAGAATCCATATGTTCTTAGTATTTTCCTTCTGCCAAAATAAAACAAATTTTATACGCGCTTTCTCAATATCATTACTATCAAGAATACTATTGTATAGAGACGTATATTGACCGGTATTTTGGAAATTAAAATCTCGTCTTAAATTGTGTGGATCTTCTTTTCGATTGGACTTATACTCCAAAAGAGTCATAATATAATATTCATGACTGGCATTTTGAAAAAGCCCATAGTTCTCAAATTCATTTACTCTAAGTCTGGGTAACTTAAACACTCCTCTATTCAAAATCATCATATTCATACGATTTTCCCCATGCGGATATGCGCTAGAACCCGGCTGTGGTGTATTTTCTGCATAACAATGTGTGCTTGGATTCGGTTGATATGTGTTTAATGCAGAACAATGTGTGCTTGGATGCGGTTGATATGTGTTTAATGCAGAACATTCAATATTATTTGGCTCTAACATAGTTTGCTGCATTTTTTGTGGTGTGTTTAATTGATCTTCTCTTTTTCTTTTATGTTTTCTTCCTTCTAAGTTTATTTGGTCTGTTGTACTGTTTATTAATTGCACAATTATAGATATTGTAATGAGTGCTTTTGTCTTATATCTCATTTATAGTTAAATTATTTTTAAATGCTTGTTAAATATTTTCAATTTTTTGATAAAATAGAGATTAATTAAAATAAAGGGGAATATGCATATAATTTGACAGCTTTTTTGAAATATACTATCCTATGAATATAACTAGAAGTTTTTAATATAATAAAGGAAGTATACTAAATATGTGTCATATTGAAATAGTAAATACACTAGCTCATAATACTAATAAGCCGTAGAATATTCTATAATTTGTTTGCTAAACATAATTCATCTGTGAAGAGAAAGTTCTCTATAATTATAAATATACAACTTGATTGAATATGAAAAGAAGAGAAGGTTTCTATTTTCTTTTTATTTACGAACAAAGGAGTACATACAGATGAAGAGTGTCCAGACAGATACAGCAGCACATCAACACATCAGACGGTTCAATACACAGAATACCATACGCCGTACACACCCAGAGACAAAAGAAA